ACGCTACAATTTTCACATTGAACTGTCGGTACAACTTTCTAGCAGTCTCTTCACCAAATTTTTCGAACCCTTTTTAACCGTTCTTAATTTCATTGGAACTGCCTGTTGTTGCATATTTGGTCTGCTTACATGCATTTTGTAGAGCATGGGCGGGTCATTTCAGTTATCTTATCGCATATTTTGTTTACTTCCAACAAAATGTACGTGGTATCATGGCTCCTCATTAAAACTTTCGCCTGGCTGAAATATAAACACTTGTATGGTTTCTTTGACGTCTTTTTTTCTGATCATGTTTTGTTGGTTTTTTTATTTCAGTTTTCTGCCGATCTTGTTATTTAGAAACGAAAATGCCATACACGACAGGCAAATTTGTTTTGAGTTTAAACTGAGCGACAGGTTTTGTCAGGATTCACTGTAACAACTTAAACTTTATTATTACTGAAAGTATCGACAGAGACACAATAAAATGGCGTGCAGTTGTTGATTGCAATAAACTCTGGGGAAAATGACGTCATATTTGCGTGATTTCCTGTCTACATTTTATGTTAATGATTTATCACAGATTAGTACGTCTTTTGTTTCAAATGTTTACCCGCGACACGCATCCAATGAAAAGAACATGATTCGTTTCCTAACCGTCTTTTTTAGTAACCGTGACTAAATGAACCAAAAAGTATGTGTTAGAGATATACTTAAGCAGAATTTGATTTGCCAGTACTTAATCAATTTTTACACCTTGGCTACTGTGAAAGTGTTAATTATTCACTGGGTTTTAATTTTGCTATTTCGCTGACTGGAAAATGTGCTAAATTAAAATCCAGTGAATATATAAAATTTAGCATAGAACACATTATCTAAATGATAAAACCGTGAATTTAAAACCCACTGATTAATCCTTTCACAGTATTAGTAGAATGCAACAGGGTAGATGCAGCTTCTATTAGAGCATCAACACATATGAGAAATAGTGAATTTTTAGTTCAAAATTATTCAAAAGCATTGGGTGTGGTTTCTATCAGGAATGTGGCTTCTAATAAAGATTTAACAGTGTGTAACGGAACATTTCAATGATTTTTTTTGTCTGAATATTGAATACTGTTTTGGCTTCTCATTTTATTGTTTATTTGAAAATTAATGCCGGCCACAATAATTCAAAACATCAAATTCTAAATTTGTCCCGAATTTCATGCATATTCATGCCATCAAATATCATGTCATAGTATAAAGACTTGAATATAGAGTTATGAATGATTTTGGAGTGTAACTTTAGTATGACCATCTGGCACTCTTAGAAATGAAAATGGCTTGTAGATATTACCTGATCCTGATCCAGATGTAGAAAGATCCATCAGATCTTTTAACGACTGTCCTGGTGGCATTAGTGGGTCTATAGATTCAATGTCATCGTTGAAATGGTATCGAGGAGTTTGTCTACGACGCTGCGCCAAACACACACACAACGTTATCATGAACATGAAACAAATGAAACATATCGGCCCGGCGATGACAGCCGCCAGCTCCAGGGTTTCCAGGCTTTCTTGCATTGCCTGTGTGGTTGGACCTGAAATAAATATTGGTATCTGAATTATAAGTATAACATGACACATAAAAACAGATCAGTCATTTTGATAATTTTGATGTTCTCAACATTGTTACCATGTAACAACACACACACAAATAATAATAAACTCTGAACTCCAAGATAAACATTGCATTGAGAAATCTGGGTTGCTCACTGAGAAAATGTAGCGAAAATAAGCTTTAAAAGAAGTTCTCTGAGGAGAAAGAAGCCTGCATTTCTTGGATACAAATATATCCATCTGAATATATATAATAATTACCAAGGACTATGACTTAGTACCCCTACTACCATTTTCAATATATATATGTTCTACATGTATACTGTAAAATACTTTATTTTAGCTGGAATTAAGTTTTGCTGAAAAGATTTTTGAGTGTTTTGTATGGAATTTATTTTCACTGATTTTTGACGAGTTGAATGTAGAATATCACTGATTTTATTTTTACTGAATCATTCCTTTAGTGAAAATAGCAAAAATTAATTCCAAGCAGAGTAGTTTACAGTATTAGATTTCTCTAATTTTAAAAGCCAATCAGAAAGGTTGTACTATCGTGAAAAAACTGTTTAATTATCAGAATTTGTTTTAGTCACTTGTAATATGTAGAAATCAATGGAAGTAATTTCAAACAGAACCAAAACAACTATGTACCAATTGGACTCCAAGAATCAGTTCTTGAGATATCAGTGGAACAGATACAGAGCCTCCTCCTATTTTGTACTTCATGTTAATATGAAGAAACTGCATGGCAGATTGATTTTAAATGATCGTGGCCATCCAGAGAATTATTACAGGTTATTAAACAAAGGCAAATATTGCTAAGAGTCACAGATTTCTCATACATTATGCCTTTGGACTGCCTAAATTGGTCACTATAGGAAGGTGGTCTTTATACACAGG